GTTAAACTATCTTTCTTGTCTGTTAGAGTTTGCTGCGACGTCTTACTTGGATTCATGCGTAGTTGGTTGAATCTACGTATTTTGTACGCGTTGTACTGGCCTTGTAGGATGGTCGCCGCATGGACAAGAATTCACGCAAAATGCTGGTGTATGTACGGATGCAGAATTCATAACTTTGGTTTTACTCGCACCAATCTCAAAAAACTTGACATTCAGAGCAAAAGCTGAGATTTTACTTGTTTTGACAAGATGGAGTCAAAAGTTTCTAAATATTTTTTGGTTTTGTTTAATCATTTATTGGAGGAAATGGAGACGTCTCAATGAATGAATCGTTGGATGACACTGAAGGCTGGACAAACGTAAAACCCAGCAGCGCTAGATAACCGACAGGAAACCAATCATCGCATCAACGCTTCCTGATCAGATGGACGCTTCACCCCGGACCAACATGGCGGCTTGTGTAGGCACTTTTGCTGAAAATTGGACAACAGTTCACCAAAACATGTTTCTGAAAAGGTGTTGTTGAGAAATTGTATTTAATTTTAGAATGAATGGTCAGTTTAGAAGTTTTTCAGAGTTTGGATGACCCTGATTTGAGTGAAGTAGCCTTGAGCTCAAGTTTCTGCAAACAGTCGTGGGAAATGTCACCTGTTGACACGACCCGAAATCCTCCTTTAGCAAATTGGAAGAGTGGAAATGATGGATCCTGTGGACATTTACCACCAGAACAGTAAAAGCTTCCCAGCTGTTATAGGAAACTTGGATTTTATCTTATCTTGTCGTAGCTCATACAGCTTTAGCTTTGTTAACAGGTAGATCTTCTGAACCTTAACACTACAACTTATGAGGTCAGTTTCACGGTTGTAAAGCACTTTGGCTGGACCTGTTTGTGCTATATAAAGAGGAGTGACGTGTTTATCAGAAAGGTGGTAATCCTTGTCATTACTGAGGCTGTGTTGGTAAACTGGGCTGAAATACAGTCGAAAGTGTCTCTAGCCTGTATATGAATGAAAAATGTAAACATTTGAAGAAATGGTAAAGTCCTCAGTGAGTTCCATTGTAAATATGAAGTATTTTTTCATTGGCTTATGACTGACTCTTGGCTTGTTTCCCAGCAATGACACACAGAGCCATCTATTATCTAAAATATGAGCGCAAAGGTTGGGATATGTTTGGATCTGAAGCCGGTTTCCTGGTGAAACAGGCCACATGCTGCTGGTATCTGTGCCACCCTGAGCGCCGACTTGCTCTGCCAACTTTCTCGGCTCCGCCCTCCACAGACGGGAAAAGTTAGTTCCTCTTTGCGGCCTCATTTCTTCCGACCTCGGGCAACCTTTTCCTGCTGCAGACGTACCTGAGTCATGACTGCAAACAGGGCGTGAGAAGCCTTCAGGCAACACTTTCTGCGCCGTGGACCGGCAGCTTCCAGGGAAAGAGGCCCGACCACATTTTTTTGTGAACGCACAGCCAGCAGCCTCGTGTGAAGCAACAACAGTCGATGTTAATGAGTTACAGTCTGAGCTTTCCTGCAGGATGATGTGTGTTTGATTGTGTTCCAATGAGAAATTTAAAATCCAACTGAGCATGTGCAGCTTTTAACTGTACAATAGAACATCAGTGTTGCTCTGGTAGAAGATTTGAGGTGAAAATCATGTGTATTTAAATTTTTTTTTTTTTCAACATGCAACTGTTTTTATTGCTACTATATGCAACTCACTGTATGAGCTTTTAACAACATTGATATTTACATTTCTACACCAGAACACTGACACATTTCTGGTCCATGTTGGCTCTTTGTCAGTCACTGTCATATATATTTGAGTGTTTTGTATTCTTCTGGAGCCACTTTTGTCTTAAAACTGTGTTCTTTTTCTCATGTAATTAAACACAAACAACTTTTAAACTGGTATTTCTTACAGGCTTCAGCAAATAGGTTCAATTATTGCATTTAAATCAGCAAAAATATCATTAATTTACAAATGGTTTTCATTACCTGAAAGAATAGATATACATGGTAAGGACAAACGTATTTTTTAACTGGTATTTTACGGATTTTTCCTTTTTCTTTTTTAATACCTGGTCAATTATTCAGCATTTGAATGTTTTGGCAGCAGGTTTGAGATGGAAATCAAGTTCATTTCCAAAGAAAATGAGACAGTAAACAAACCTATGTTTCTCTTTTTATGTTTTAAATGTGCTGTTTTTATTGCTACTGTATGTGATTACTGATATAAGCTTTTAATGACGTTTATATGTGACCGTCTACATCAGAAAAACGACACAGTTCAGGTCTAAAGTGGCTTTTATCAGGTAATGTCGCTGGATAAATACCCTTTTTTAAAGTCTTTTTAATGCTTCTGGAGCCAATTTTGACTTAAAACATTGTATTTTCCTAATATAATTAAACAGAAACACTCTTTGACCTATATTTATTTAATAGCTTCAGTCATGAGTCAGTTTCTTTAAACATGTCTGCGTGTGGAGGGAGGCACCGAGGTAATCTTACACTGACAGGCGAATTATTTCATTGCATAATAGGACTGTAGCTGGATACAGATGCGGTTCTTCCAGTAATAACAGCGACAGCAGCTTATTTAGGGCTGATTTGGCAGTTTGCCCAATTCATGGTTGACTGAGAGTTCATTCCTTCTGTTTCCAGTTCAGACTGCTGTGTTTGGGATGCTCGGATTAAACATTACAGTTTTCATATGTAGTGGTGTTTACATTGATATATGCCACAGATTTTGTTTTAAATCAACTTATTGATTAATTATGCAAAAAGAAACCTCCTGCTGGCTGTAAAGTCAACATGATGGCAGCTTGTAAACGATGTTTTTTGTGTTGCTAATCATCGGCGTGGCTCCTCGCATGCAGGTATCGTCTCATCCGACGGGTTCAATCATGAGACTTAAAGCTCAGACGAACCAGTTTGTAGTCAAACAAGAACTTAGTTTGCATTTATTCCAACAGCACCACAGGTTCTACCAATTTACTTGAGACATTTAGGTTTCCTCCTGCGAACCAACAGAATCAGACAAACCGTAATGAAATTATGTTCGACCAACAAACCACATTGAGTTACAGGAATGAGCTTTTCCTCAACTGTCAAGGAGATTTTTTTTTTCTTCTTTTTTTTTAAATTACAGCTGATTTTATAATCTATGCAAGTTTTTAGGTTGATCACTCAAAAAAATTAAGTTGTTCCAACTCGTGTTTTTTTTACATTATTTTAAGGAATTTTCATGAACACCATTTTTTAAGTTGACAAAAATGTAAAAAAAAAAATTAAGTTGCTCCAATTAGTTTTTCGTAAGTAGTTTTTGTTCATGTAGTAGCTCATTTAGTCTGTTTAACTTTTTTTAAATTTTATTTTGAAGTGCATTTGTGTATTTGAACGAACAATATTCACATCTTGAAAACAGCAAAGTTGAGTTTAAATGACATCCAATATTATATGCAATTACCCGTATTATTATGTCAAACCAACTCGTCAAAAATAATGTTTGAAATGTAAAAAAGTTCATCACAATCATTAAAGTGGATTTTTTTATAGAGTATGGCCATATATTTGTATGTGCCAGTGTGACATGTGGACTGTTTCATACTATGATTTTTTTCCCTACAATTTATTTAGATATATTTTTACAGTAATTGGCATATTGGACAAAGTCAAAGCAAACTTTATTGTCAATATTTCTACATGTGCAGTAAATACAGAGAAACTGAAATGAATCCCACAGTGTACAAAAAAGGAAAATCTAAATATATATGAAGAATACAATACAGAATACAACAAACATAGTTTCTGTATCAGCGTATTGGTTGAGCCTAGAAAGAATAATGGAAAATTAGGCTGGAAAATATGATTTATTTTTATTTATTTTATCATTGTAAGCTTTGGTTTTATAGTCATTTCCCACGACTAGCAGACCAAAAGTAAAAAAAAAAAAGATTTACCTAAATTATGTATAGAAGCATGAAATAGCAAAGAATGAAAAAACAGCCTGTAATACACAATTTACTCAAAAATACCCAAACTGTTTTTTCAAATGTTCCAAAACAAAACAATATATTTTATAAGACAGCACAGACAAGGGGTTTCTTATCTAATGTCACTTTGTTCTTACAATGTTTTTTTTTTGTTTTTTTTTACTCCTTTTGGCATCAAAAATGATGAAAAAACATAAATATTCATGTGATACCATTTTACAAGCAGCACAACACGAACAGCGCCATTAAAAAAGGAAATATTTCAGCACAAATTATCTATAAAGTCACACGTTTTGGTTTCTGAAACAGCTTGGTTGCTCTTCGGTTTTGGTAAGTCTTGGTATTCGGTGTCTTTGGTCACTTTTTCAGGTGGTTGCAGGACTTTCGGTCTCTCTGCTGTTATCTCGTGGCTGCTTATTGCCTCCAGCGTCTCAGACTTCGCTCCGCTCTGACTGAGGGCAGCAGCTGCCAAGTGGAAGCTGCTGTTACCTGAACTGACAGACAGCAGAGTCCTCAGTGTGTTGATGTGAAGCGGAGGGACGCCAGCTGAGGCTAAACTGGGCATCGAGCCACAGTGATGCAGGAGCAACACAATCTGACCTCCTGACCTCCGAGCAGCATCCAGCAACAAACAGGACTATCTTCAAGCTATTGTAATATGTGCCATTGTTTAAAAGAATATATATATATATATAAATATATATATACAAAAAAATTGAAAAATCTCTTTTTAAATATTGCTTTATCGAAGTTAACTAGTAAACCTCACAGAAAAAAAAAAAATAAACTTCTTGCTTTTTTTTTTTTTTTTTTAAACTTTTTAACTAAATTGGCAAAAAATACATATTTTTTGTAGATATTTCTTTGACTGGTATTTTACAGATTTTTCCTTTTTTCCAATTACAGATAATAGCTAGTAAAGCAAAATTTTAAAAATATTATTTCACATGTTCATCCTAAAAAAAAAGAGGGCCAAAACTGTAAATAATGTTCACCTAAAACAAACAAACAAACAACAAAAAAATACTTTATTTTTTACATATATTAATTTTTTTTCTAGAGTGTGTGGCTATAAAATGATAAAGTTTTACAGTGTTTAAATTAGCTAAAAATATCATAATTCTACAGATTTCTGCTGGTATTTTCACTGTTTTAATTTTTTTTTTACTTTTTTTTTCTGGCACACTGACTGCCAGATTTTCATCATTTTTTAAAAAATTTAAAAAAAAAATTTTTACAAGATTTTTATTTTTTTAAAATTTTTTTTACAGTGTAGTCATATTGATGCTTTTTTATGCAGCTATGTGCAGAGAATCTTAACAAAGAGGGTGTAAATAATTCTAAGTACCCAACCACTTAAGCTACTTTATCGATCATGAAACAGCTTCATCCTGAGAGCGTTGTTTTTAACTCAATCAGTCGTTTGGTGTGTGAATGTGTGTGTGAATGGGTGAATGAGAAAACATTGTAAAGCGCTTTGAGTGCCGCTAACGTGGAAAAGCGCTATGTAAGTGTTGTCCATTTTTGTGAGTCTGTCTGAATGTAAATGTCTGGCAGATAAGGTGTCTCACAACAGCGGGAGTCCATCTTTTCACAGTCTGGCCTCTGTTTGGATGTAAATCTCCCCAGATTTAGATAATCCTGTCAGGCTGACGAGTCGTCCCGGCGTTGGCGGTGGGTGGCTGGTGGGCGGAGGAGTGAGACGGGGTCCACGGGGGCTCCGAGGTGAGGTTTGTGCTGTCTGTGGATTATATAACCAATAAAAGTGTGATAAAGACGAGGAAAACTCAGTTACCTGTGTGCAGTCGTGTGACGTTTATGCTGCAGAGCACAAAATCACTAAGTTAGTTGGAACAAATAAAGCTATAGAGAAATATTTTGTCCACTTTTTCTGTTGCAGAATGCACTTAAATGACAATAATGGGGTTTAATCATGTCAGTGTTTGTCATATTTTGACTTTAAATGTATATTTGAACGTCTCTCACAGAAGGTTCCAGGTAAAAATCGTGTATGTTTCCAAAGAATAACAACTAATCTCACTTATCCAAAGAGAAACAGACAGTAAACATGTCACCATTGCTACTGTGCATCAGATAAACTACACCTTAAACACAAACTACACTCTATTGCTTCCCAAATTAAAAAAAGAAGGTCCTTCTCAGCTGTTTGAGGGAGTTTTAGCTAAAAACAAACAAGCCAAAAACTGTGAAACCTGTGTCTCTAGGTTTATTTCAGTGCAGAGCTGAATTCTTGTTCCTTGTTGCAGCATCATACACACACGTTAAACACATTAAACACGTAAAACATGTCCAAATCAGCTGTTTGAGAGGACTTTCAGCCCCCAAACTGCATTATTGTGATCATTATTTCAGTGTCTCTGGGTTTGTTTTAGTGCAGTGCTGAATTTTACGCCCTAAACTACAAATTATTAGGTAATATTAGCGTTTAACTCTAAAACTGCATGTTTCTGCTTCATCAGTATCATTATTTCAGTGTCTGTTTTAGTGTAGAGTTGAATTATGAGCTCTGAACCACGATTTATTGCTTGTCAAGCCAAAAATTTAGCCTAAAAAGCTCTAACACTGTGTTTCTGATTCATTATGATGATAATTTTAGTCTCTGGAGATATTTTTTTTTTCTGTTTGTTTCAGTGAAGAGGTTTAAATTACACTTTACTGCTGGTCAAGTGAAAAAATATACATATATCGGCTGCTTGAGGGGAATTTATGCCACAAAAGTTGTAAAACGGTGTGTTTCTTCTGGAAAAGGATGATTATTTAAATGTCTCTGGGTTTGTTTCAGGTGGATTCAGTTGGATTCTCAACCATATACCACATTTTATTGTTTATCAAGTTAAAAAAAATATGTTCATTTCAGCTATTTGAGAGGAATTGCAACCAATAAAGCTCTAAATTTGTGTATTGTTTCAATATCATCATTATTTCAGTGTCTCTGGGTTTGTTTCAGTTGAATTTAGTTGGATTCTCAACCCTAAGCCACACTTTATTACCTGTCGAGTTTTTTAATTTTTATAATTTTAGCTGTTTGGGGGGAATTCTAGCCAAAAAAACACCCTAAAACGGTGTGTTTGTGCTGCTAAAACATCATGATTTGAGTGTATGTGGTTTGTTTCAGGTAAATTAAGGTGTATTCTCAGCCCTAAACCACACTTTATTTCTCATCAAGTAAAAAATGTGTTCATATCAGCTGATTAAAGGTGAATTAAGGCCTGAACAAACTCTAAAACTGTGTGTTTCGGCCCATAAACACCATTATTTCAGCGTCTCTGGTTTGTTTCAGTTGAATTTAAGTGGATGTCTGTCCTAAACTAGACTTTATTTCTTGTCAAGTAAAAAATGAGTTCATATCAGCTGATTAAAGGTGAGTTTAGGCCTGAACAAACTCTAAAACTGTGTGTCTGTGCTTATGAACGTGACCATTTCAGTGTCTCTGGGGTTGGTTCAGTTGCACTGAAGTGTGTGTCTTTCTTAAACTACACTTTATTTCTTGTCAAGTCAAAAAATGTGTTCATATCAGCTGATT